ACAGGAATCTTGGCTGTCAGAATGCCCTCCTTGGCCTCCCTCCTCACCTGTACCCCAGGAAACGGCAAATGCAGCCATGGGCGTGGAGCCCACCAGACTTTGCTAGGCAAGCGAGCAGATGGCTCCTTCAGGACTGCCCACAAGAAAGTATACCCGCCCGCCCTGTGCTTAGTTTTGGCGCAGGCAATGTTGGATAGTGTGCTCCCCTCGCTTGACCTGTGTGATGAGGATGACCGTCAGCACACTGACATGTTGCCCAAGCTGTTTGTCTCTACTGCCACAATATTTCTGGATGCTCCTCCTTTGGGACCAGGCTCTGCAATTCAGAGGTCTGCCCGCCAGCAATCCACTAGCGAGCGTATTCTGGCCGTGCGGCCCAGTAAGAATCAGGGCTCGGCGGCGCAGGCAGGCGAACTAGATGATCAATATGTTGCCACGGCATGTGCTGTTGAGCCCGGACCTTGTGTTGCCGAGCGAATCCCTTGGCGATTCGTTTGCACCCCCTTCGGGCGGCTCCTGCACCGCCCCCTCTTCCTCCACCTCCCCCTCTCGTGTCCGAGGCCGTGAGAGCTAGAATAGCGGCGAATCGGGCTGAGGCGCCGAGGCGTGTAAGGGAGAGAGCGGCCGAGCAGAGAAGGCTGCCAATCCAGAGCACAAATCTGTTTGGGCCACCTTCCTCACTCCCCATGCGAGCCTCTAGGGTGCACCCAGACAAGGTGCAGGCGGACTTGCATCGCTGGTTCTCCGTGGCGACTGCAGGGACCTCTTGAGTCCAGACAGGCGCCACAACAACTCTGTTCATCTAGGGCTGCGTTCCGGGGTCGTTGTGAGTGCAGTGGGCTCGACGTGGGGCATATCTTGAGGCCGTCCACGTCACTGCTGTACTTCCTTCGGTCTCTCCCCCTGTTTCCTAGGCCGTGGGGTGCTGAAGGTAATGCTTCCCTCATGACTTGGCAGTTCAGTGGGGCAATCTGAGCGTTGAATTGTTGCTTTCCCTCCCTGTCCGTCTTTCCCCTTGTTCCGTCTATCTCTCCTAGCAGGCGGTGCTGACCGCCCCTGGGGGGGGGCGACCCGTGCCACGGTCGAGCCTGGCGATGGGCAGGGGGCACCTCGGCCTAACCGGCCGTGGCCCTCCCCTACCAAAAGGCGAGCCGATGTGGTACGAGGGGACCCCCCCGCGACGGGGGTACGGGGCCCGCCTGCGCATTCCTCTCCTCCCCTCCGCCTCCGCTGTTGATGGTGATGATGATGGTGAAGATGACGATGCAGGATCTGTGTTGCGGTGATGGTGGTGGAGGCTGTCATGCCTGATGTGTTCTTCAGAAACTGGTAGTTGGCAACTCCCGCGCGTTGCCTTTTTGTCCTCCGAAAATGGTAGTTGGCACCTACCGTCCGTTGCCTTCCTGCGCCCTTCAGCTTCCTGTAGTGAAGGAGTAGTCTGTTCCTTGGCCTGATCGCTCCAGGAGCTCCGAGGAGGAAAAACACATCGTGCCTGATGTGTTGTCTGGGGCTTGCCCGCGCCTGCCGACTGGAAGTCGGCTCATGGAAGCAACGCGTCGGCAAATTCAGCTCCGTGCAGGCACTTTCACAGTGCAGCGCGCAGATCACCGCCGCTGCATGTCGCCTTCTCATCTTCCGGCACGGTGACGTATCCCTCATGCTCTCTGCTCGCTCCGCTCCTGCCGGCAGGCGGGGAGCCATCAGTCTTCGTTGGCAGGTCAGGGCGGGATCGCCTGCGGAGGAGGAGGAGGAAGAGGAGGGGATGCGGAGGAGGAGGAGGAAGAGGAGGGGGAAGAGGAGGAGGAGGAGGAGGAGGAGGAGGAGGAGGAGGAGAGTAGGAGGAGAGTAGGAGGAGGATGGATTTCACATACCTATCTTCTCGTCCTGCGTGCCCCCGCGCGCCGTCGGCGACCACACCGTCGCCAGGCGCGCCGCCACGCGGCCCTGCCCGCGGCGTGCCACCGCAGGCGATGACGATGACGATGACGATGACGATGATGATGATGATGATGATGATGATGATGATGATGATGATGATGATGATGATGATGATGATGATGATGATGATGATGATGATGATGATGATGATGATGATGATGATGATGATGATGATGATGATGATGATGATGATGATGATGATGATGATGATGATGATGATGATGGTGATGATGATGATGGTGATGGTGATGATGATGATGATGATGATGATGATGATGATGATGATGATGATGATGATGATGATGATGATGATGATGATGATGATGATGATGATGATGATGATGATGATGATGATGATGATGGTGATGATGACGATGATGACTGTGGTGGGTTGCATGCTCGTGATCGCTCCAGGCCTCTGGTGCTCGGCTCTCGCCTTGACTTAGTGTGTTGAGGCATGGAGGCGGTCTCCCACGTCTCTCCTTTGCGCCCGATCCACGGGCACTCTTGGTCTGCAGGCTTCTTGATCTTGCACAACCCCAGAAGAGCCGCCCACGGCGGACTTTCGAGGACACCCGAGTTCCGAGTTCCGAGTTCCCCCTCCCCCTCCCCCTCCCCCTCCCCCTCCTCCTCCTCCCCCTCCTCCTCCTGCTCCTCCGATTCCTCCTCCTCCCTTTTCTCCTCATCCTCCTCCTCCGCCTCCTGCTCCTCCTCCTCCGATTCCTCCTCCTCCCTCCTGCTCCTCCGATCTCCTCCTCCTCCTCCTCCTCCGATTCCTCCTCCTCCTCCTCCTCCTCCTTCCTCATCCTTCTGCTCTTCCGATTCCTCCTCCCCCCTCCCCCCACTTGGGTATAACGTCTTATCAAGCCCTTTATTTCACTGCATGCCCTTTCCATCCCTGATCAGGGCAACTCGTGAGGGTATCGTTTCTGGATGGGCTGGTGGGGTTACCCGAAGCATCTAGAAATTCCTGTCTCTTGTCGCTGGCCATGCGAAAAGAGGTAGCATCAACTTTGGCCACTCGGGGTCCATGCTTTCACCGCCCCTCGCATTCACTGCTCAGCATTGCCTCCTGCCCCCCATCCCTCTTCCGCCCCCATCTCATCCGACTGATTCTCGAAACCCTCAGGGAGGACCCTTTGAGCAGGGACCGACCGTCCCGGCATTCCTATAGTCCTACCACGAAATGTTCTTCGAACCCAAAATTCTCTAAAAACAAAAACAAGGTTCTTAGAACATAAACCCGATGCGTTAAAGCACGACAGTCCCAGCCAGAAATGTTCTAACAACATTCCGTGGGAACCACAACAGGTTCCTAGAACATTGTTTGGTAGGGCTATAGGCGAGCCAGGACGCTTCGCCACTGCTTGAGACCCTGTGCATGCCCAGCGTGCTCCCAGGGAGCCTTCGAGGAGCCCGAACCGAGCACCAAAGAGGTTGGCACCGGCTGCCCAGCAGGCTCCGCGCCTCTGCTGGGTGTACTTCAGGAACAACCGAACTGGAGTTGGAACCTGGATAGCCATCAGAATACCAGACGTTCATGATAGCAGCTTCCACTCATCAGAATATCAAAGAAGATCAGGATGAGGAAGCACAGACAGCTGACTTTGAACATCAAAGCAAGGTCAAGATCAAGGTCAAAGACAGCATGCGTCACGTCGCTCTTCGTCGTCCTCCTGCGCTCTACCCCGCGCAGGCAACCCATGCGGCCTGGGTGAGGTTCGCCGCGCCCACCCATGCTCCGGGGGCCCGCGGAATGGCGAACGCCTCTTTTCGAGAACGGAGCTGGCACGGAACGCTGTCTTGACACGCGCGCCAGCTTGTCTCCAACCCTCTACACACGGTCTGAGAAGCGAGACCGTTCCACTTTTCACGCTTGGCAGTCACACAGGGAGCGTTGGAATTGAGGAGCAGGCATGCCATTGTCCTCCCCCTCCTCCTCCTCCTCCTCCTCCTCCTGCTCCTTCTCCTGCTCTTCCTTCTGATCCTCGTTTTCTTCATATTATTCGGATCATCATTATTATGATTACTATCATCATTAGTTTATTATTATTATTATTAGTAGTAGTATCCTTACTATTTTGTGATTATTATTATTAGTATTATTATTAGTATTAGTAATATTATTATTATCATTATTATTATCATTATTAATATTAGTATTATTCTTATTATTATTATTATTATCATTATTATTATTAGTATTATTAGTATTATTATTATTATTACTATTATTAATATTATTATTATTATTATTATTATTATTATTATTATTATTATTATTATTATTATTATTATTATTTGTTTACTCCTCCTCCTCCTCCTCCCCATACTTCCACTGCTTGGTCCGCAGCACACTCCATAAGAGAGGAGGAGGAGGAGGAGGAGGAGGAGGAGGAGAGATGAGGAAGGGGAGGCCTATAGGGTGGAGGGAGAGGAGAAGAGGGAGGGAAAGGAGAGTTCAAATAAGAAAGGGAACGGCGAGGAGCAAGGAGGAGGAGGAGGAGGAGCAGGAGGAGGAGGGAGGGAGGAGGAGCAGGAGGAGAAGGAGGGAGGGGGGGAGGAGAGGGGAGGAGGAGGAGGAGGAGGAGGAGGAGGAGGAGGAGGAGGAGGAGGAGGAAAAGGAGGAATAATAAGATTACTACTAATAATGATAAGGATAATAATAAAAATCAGAATAATCAAGATAATATCAATAAGAGGTGGAGGAGGAGGAGGAGGAAGAGGAAGAGGAGGAGGAGGAGCAGAGGGACGAGGATGCGGAATTGGGACCAGCAGGAGTCAGTTAAGGAGAGAGAGAGAGAGAGAGAGAGAGGGGGAGAGGAGGCGGAGGAGGCTGCGCCGGACGAGATCTCGAGCCACCAGGAACCAGGAACCAGGCGGAGGAGGAGGAGGAGGGGGAGGAGGCAGAATACATCAGACGGGGAGGGGCGAGAAGAAGGACGAGCGAGGGAGGAGCAGCTCCAGTGCAGCAGGCAAGAGGAGGTCAGGAGGAGGAGGAGGAGGAGGAGGAGGAAGCGGAGGGCCTCCAGCCCTCCAGTGCCTCGGATGCGGGGCCCGACCATCCTCGTAGCCGTGGGCAAAGGTGCAGTACTTCTTCCGCCAGCACGTCCGCCCCCTCTCGTACTCGGGGCACAGGTGGACCTGCCGCTCGCGCCAGGGGCGGCCCCGAGCCAGACGAGAGGGAGGGGCGGTCCAATGGGGCCGAGCGTTCGCGAATCGGCTTCGGGGATCTACGGGCCTGGGTCGATGCAAGCCCAGGCCGGCTTTGCAGGATCCTGCGCCCCTGGCTCTGCAGGATCCTGCAAGATCCGGCGCTCTGGCTGACCCCGTTTGCAGTGGCCCCGGCGCTTGATTCCCGACGGCTGACGCAGCCAATTTCCCCGGCTGCGGTCGAGGCGCCAATGCATGGGGGAGAGCCCCCCGGCAGCGGGGCCAAAAACCCGCGACGCGCAGCGGAGTTCGAGGCCCCCCCTTTCCCTAACGCACCCTGCCGTCCGATCCGAGAGGAGGAGGAGGAGGAGGAGGAGGAGGAGGAGGAGGAGGAGGAGGAGGAGGAGGAGGAGGAGGAGGAGGAGGAGGAGGAGAGAGAAGGAGAAGGAGCAGCAGGAGCAGCAGGAGCAGGAGGAGGAGGAAGAAAAAGAGGAAAGGGAGGAGGAGGAGGAGGAGGAGGAGGAGGGAGGAGGAGGAGGAGGAGGAGGGGAGGAGGGGGAGAAGGAGGAGGAGGAGGAAGAGGAGGAGGAGCAGGAGGAGGAGGAGGAGGAGGAGAAGGAGGAGGAGGAGCGGGAGGAGATGGAAGGCTTTCGAGTCACGTCTGACATGCTACCCCTCCCATCCATCCCTTCCCATCAGACTGTTTTTTTCTGTATCTGCCGACGGATGTCAACGGAGAAAGGCATGGTGAAAGAGGAGGAAGAGGCTGCGGACCGCAGACGAGAACTGGCCTCAGGTCGCAAAGGTCGCAGGATCGGGCGGAGGTCGGGCACCGCTGAAAACGGCGTGCCGACCGCAAGAACTGGGGCTACAGCGGGTCCCGATGCCGCTGCTCCCCGGATCTCTTCTAGGGTGCGCTCTGGCCAACATTTCGAGGATACTCCAGTCTTGGCGACGAAGGACGAGTAGCGGTATGGGTACAGCCGGACCAGGGATACAGGAACATCCTTCAAGAGCACGAGATCCCCCGCTGGCCCAAGCTGAAGAATATTCGAAGGTGCCCTCCCCCCAGATGCACACGAGTATCCGACAAACACCCAGAACATTAGGGTACCCTCCCCGAACCGACCTCGATCTCATACCTCGGTCCAGCCGTATCGGTATCATTACCTCTTCCTCCTCTGAGGAGTGGGCGGAGGATGGCGAAGGTCGCAGGTGGTCGAAGGTCGCCTGAGTGGGCCGCGCCAATCCCGAGCTCCCCCTCCGTCTCTTCTCCTCCTTCTCCCTCTCTCTTTTCCTCCTCCTTTTCCTCTTTTTCCGCCTCCTCCTCCTCCTCCTCCTCCTCATCCCTCCTCCTCCTCCTCCTCCATTCCTTTTCCTTATAAGCAACTTCTCCCTGTCGCACCCCGAGGCCAGTTTTTTGGACGGGCCAGGCGTTTCACCTGAGACCTCCTCACCATTTAGGACCCTGAAGCTTAAAAAAGAGAACAACTTCACAGATGGAGGGCGGGCCGTTTTCAAAATGTGGCTCTCGCCTTAGCGCCGCGCACATTCGTTTTTTCTTTTTTAATTCGCAAGATATTCACGTATTGAGGGCGACCCGTTTTCAAGATATGGCTCTCGCCTTAGCGCCGCGCACATTCGCTGTAAACCGACTTACCATCAATAAGCACCAATGTCATACTCCTCCTCCTTCTCCTCCTCCTCCTCCTCCTCCTCCTCCTCCTCACGCTCCTCATCCTGACAGCACTACACGAGAAAATGGGGAGAAGGTCTCAGAAAGGACGGCGCCAGGTCGGGGTGTGCACGAGGATGAGCGATAGGAAAAGGATGGCAAGCAAGATGTCTCAGGAGGAGGCGAGAGCTGGGAGAGGTGTATGGCCGAGGATGTAGCCATGCCCTGCGCCTCGGATGATGAAAATTATCCTGGCAAAAGACCCAACCATACTGCAATTGTGAGTACCGCTTTCGGTGGAGCTCCATATGGGGCCACGAAACGAAGGGTGTGCCGACATGGGTGCGGTGCCGCCATGTGAACGCAGCCACCGGGGCCCTCGGTGGAGCTCCCTATGGGGCCACGACGCGCGTGAGGGGTGTGCCGAAATGGGTGCGGTGCCGCCATGGGCCACTGGGGCCCTCGGTGGAGCTCCCTATGGGGCCACGACACGTGTGAGGGGTGTGCCGACATGGGTGCGGTGCCGCCATGCGAACGCAGCCACTGGGGCCCTCGGTGGAGCTCGCTATGGGGCCACGACGCGCGTGAGGGGTGATGGTGATGACGACGGCAATGATGATGAAGTTGATGGTGATGATAGTGGTCGTGATGATGGTGACGATGATGGTGGTGATGACGTTGGTGACGACGATCACGGTGACGATGCCGATGATGATGATGATGATGATGATGATGATGATGATGATGATGATGATGATGATGATGATGATGATGACGATGATGAAGATGATGACAGGAGGAGGGAGGAGGGGGAGGAGGAGAGGAGAGGAGGAGAACGTGGGGCGCTGTCTCTTCAAAACGAGGACCCCACACCACAGGGTGCTTGGGAAATAGCAGAAGGCGTGGAGGAGGAGGAGGAGGAGGACGAGGAGGAGTAGGAGGAGGAGGAGAAGGAGGAGGAGGAGGAGGAGGACGAGGACGAGGAGGACGAGGAGGACGAGGAGGACGAGGAGGACGAGGAGGACGAGAATGAGCGAGGAGGAGGAGGAGGAGGAGGACGAGGAGGAGGAGGAGGAGGAGGAGAGAGGAGGAGGAGGAGGAGGAGGAGGAGGAGAACGAGGAGGAGGAGGAGGAGGAGGAGGAGGAGGGGAGGAGGAGGATTGGGACAATGAGAAGGGAAGAGGATGAGGGAAGAAGAGAATGGAAGAGGAGGACGAGGAGGACGAGGAGGACGAGGAGGACGAGGAGGACGAGGAGGGAAAAGGAGGAGGGCGGAGGAGGAGGAGGAGGAGGAGGAGGAGGAGGAGAAGAAGGAGGAGGAGGACAAGGAGGAGGACAAGGAGGGCAGCGGAGGCAAAAGCGGAGGAGGGGAGCGACGAGGGCTGGCCCGCCGCGCGCCACGCTCGCGAGGAGGGGCCCCGCCTCCCTCTGCCCGCCCGGCGCCCCCGCGACACGCCGCCCCTGGCTGCCCCTGCGGCAGCCAGTCGCTCGCGAGCAGAGCCGGGGCAGACCACACCGATGCGGGGTGCCTCCCTCCTCCGCGAAGAAATGTCGAGGAAGTCTCGAGCGACACGCTGGTTTTGCACGCCCCAGGATGCCCAGGTGGCGATGGGAACGCTGAAACGCGTGGAAACACAAGGGCTCCTGACGCCAGAGAGCCGCGGCGCGCTCCAGGGGGGGGGGGGCGAGAAGTGGCGGGCCGTCTCAGAGGGCTCTCTGGGCCTTCCGAGAGGTTGTCTGGGCCTTCCCTGAAGGCACAGGTAACGCTTCTCAGAAGACCGACGGGATTCCGAGAAGCGCTTCGCCGGCGCCTTCTGAGAAGGCCTGCTCCTTCTCGCCTTCCTCTCTCCGGCGCGCCGCCGAGAAGAGAATCTAGGTCCTCTAGCTTCGCGCATCGCGCCCCGCGATGCGCGACGAGCGGTTTCAGTGCGGGCGCGGCCGCAAGAAACCCTCGCAAGAAACCAAACCCTGAAAACCCGCGCGCGAGGTGCGCCCGAGGGGAAGCCCCGACCACCCCGAACGCAGCAACTTCTGCAACGGCTGCGGAAAGTCACCGCGCAGCGCGCGGAGCGAAGAAACCCAGGCTACCCTGACGAAAAGCATGCAGTCGGACTCGATTGGAGAGGACACGCGAGAGGACACAAGACCCTTCCGAGGGCCACGTTGCCGCAGAAATGGAGGCGGCATGGATCGCAAGACACAAGACACGAGGGTACCCTTGAACTGGCAGGGTCGACCCACTGATCCGGGCCGCCTGTACAGTCAAAAACCCTAACAAGGACGCGCGGTGAGGACGCAAGACCCTTGGAAGCCGGAGTTGGGATTCTTGGGGCGGCGGACGACGAAGACCTCAGGGACGCAAGAGCAAGGAAGAGCAGGGAGGAGGAGGAGGAGGAGGAGGAGGAGGAGGAGGAGGCGGTGGAGGCGGAGGCGGAGGAGGAGGAGGAGGAGGAGGAGGCGGAGGAGGAGGAGGAGGAGGCGGAGGAGGAGGAGGAGGAGGAGGACGCAGGGGCACCCTGAGCAAAGCCGCGCGTCCTCATTCGGGCTTCTGGCTGTATGGCTCCCTGCTGCGCGCCCCCGCTGCAGGCCCTCCAGCTTCGCGCCCTCGATCGCCCCGCGGGGCACGGCGCGCGGCGGCCTCCGCGCCCTCGGGCCGCCCCCCGCGGAGGAGGGCAGCGGCCCTGGCCCGGGCCGCGACGCGAGGAGCGCGCTTCTCTCTCTCTCTCTCTCTCTCTCTCTCTCTCTCTCTCTCTTCTAGAGAGCAGAACATCCACCCCCATAATAAGCACCCCGACAAGCGAAGCCGTTTAGTAAACGCACCCATGCAAGGAATCGAACAGGGCAGGGCCGTTCAGTAAACGCCCAGGGCTGTTTAGTACACGCGAATTGTCGGGGTCGGGGTGGTTTTTCAATCCTTGATCTTCGCCCCCCGGCTGCGGGTGACCGAGAGAGAACCAAGGGCGGAGACGAAGCCGAGATCTCGGAGGAAGAGCAGCTACCCATGCTGCTGCCCCTCGCCAGTCTTCCCTTCTTGGGCCCCCCCCCCCCCCCCTGCGCTTCTCTCCTCGCCCCACCCCTGCGGGTGACCGAGAGAGAACCAAGGGCGGAGGCGAAGCCGAGATCTCGGAGGAAGAACAGCTACTCCAGATTTCGTAATAAAGGGAGGGGGGTCTCATTTCGGGGGGCGGGGTCTCTTCCAGGCTGTCTTGGAGGGCCTGGGGGGTCTGGGTACGATGTTTTGGAGGGTTCTCCCACGGGGGAGGTCTGAAATGGCTTGTCTTGGAGGGTCCAGACCCCCTCCCTTTTATTGCGAAATCTGGGGTACCCATACTGCTACCCCTTGCCAGTCTTCCCCTTTTTGGGCCTCCTGGGAGGTCCTCGTCGCCACCGCTGGATTCGCCTCGGAGTCCTAGCCATGACGCACCCCGAAGAGGTCCGAGGGGGTCGCGGTATCGGTACCTCTTGGTTTCCCCAAGATCGGGCCAATATATCGGATCGGGGTAAATCTAGGGGGACGAACAATGACATAAACATAAAAACTCGGAGGCCCGCGCGGATTTCTCGGATCGGCGCTGGACCCACCTCCCTGGCGCGCGGAGCGCGCCAGGGGAGGCGCTGGAGGCGCCGCCAGCGGAACCCAGCGCCGATCCGAGAAATCCGCGCGGACCTCCGAGTTTTATGTTTACGTGATTTTTCGTCCGGGATCTCTGAGAGCCGGCGGATCTGGGGATACGTCGGGCGCCGCGGCCCAGTCGGAGCGTTCCAAGACGCTCCGGAGCGACCTGCGCGACGGGCCCGTCTCGATCCCGGGCCTGCCGCAGAGGATGGCGGAGGCGAGGGGCGGCGGCGGAGCTCGAGCCGCACGTGCTTCGGGGTTTGCTGAGGGTGCTCCTGGCCCAAGGTGCCCCCAGCTTGTCGCTCAATTTGGGAGGCTCCGGGGCCCCCTGAGCTTCGCGAGGGGTGCTCTGGAGGCCATGGGGGCCTCCTTCGAAATCCTGGGGGCAGCTTGGGCCAGGGGCACTTCTAGCAACACCCGAGTGTTGCGGCTGAACGCGCACGTGCCCATACGAACAACACGCTTGTCGCAACTGACTTCACAAGGGCCGGAACTGACGGCCGCAACACTTTCCAGTCCCGGCTCAGCGCCGTGTGGTGCAAGGCGGAGGTTATCTTCGATTCGCTTCGACTTGGTCAAATTACGTGAATTGTCTTCGGTCCGTGCGGTTCGGCGCGTTTGAACCTCAAGCGAGTGATTTCGATTCGAGATGTTCACTGGTTCCAGACACCCCAGCGAAGACTTTGGCGCACGGCGCACGCAAAGTCTTACCCCTCAGCCCATTGCCGTTTCTCGCCTGCTAGTATCTTGCAAGACACTGGGCCGCAATTCCCAGAGCTGCACCGTGATTCTCCTCTCCCCCTCGTCGCGCCTGCTGATCTCAGCAGGCCACGACTTCGCTGGGCTCGTGAGGACGAATTGGAGTTGCGGAGATTAGTTGAACTGAGGCCTGCTACTGATGGATGGGAGATCCCCCATGGTCTCAGAACCTGTGCGGCACCGTGAGGTCCGTACCTAGTGACGCATATCGCCGCGGACTGTATGCTGCACGCGCAAGGGAAGATATCCGACTCAGACATGCCCTAAACAGGATGGGCAGAGTTGCTCTCTTCCTGTCCACTTTTCCTACGACTAGTTCTAGAACTTTAGTTCACTATCCGACGCGTCGAGTATGTGAAGGGCTCGGGGGGAAGGAGATGTCAGGGCCAATGCCATACCCTCACTGGTTACACCGTCCTCAAGGCAACACCTCCTGCGTAAATCAGGGGGCGCACAGGGGTCTGGCTGCCCCCGTCTGGGGAGTAGCACGTCTTGCTGTTGAGGGGAAGGCCCCTTTTTTCCCATCCGTATTCTCCATCCTTTCCCCCCCTTGCAGAAGTGCAGTGCCGAGCCACTTTCAGCGAGAGTAATTACCCTTGTGGCCGGACCACTGCCAAACCAGGCCTGCATGTGCTGGCGCTCGAGGCAGCGGCATCCCCTTGCTGGCTCTGCCGCTGCCTCTGCGTCGTTCTTCACTCCTTGGTCGTCTCGCCGTATTCTTGGCACCAGGCGCTTCGACCGTCCTGCGCTTCGGCCGACCGAGCGACCGACCGACCGACTGAGGAGGAGGAGGAGAGGAGGAGGAGGGAGGAGAGGAGGGACGATGACGTGGACGAGGATAGAGCGAGAGAAAGAGGCTCCAAGCCACAGCTTCCACGTCAGCCATACGAAGTGCCCCGAGGATGCGGGCGGACTGGCGGCTCAGCCTAGCATCAATTCTCCGTCGATGCGACATTGCTCTCCGCCTACCCACCCATGCACGGACACCTTCTCATCCAATCCTTCCTCAAATGGAAGAAGCAAAGACAGTATACATAAACAAAACTTTCGGAGTTCCGCGCGGATTCCTTGTATCTGCGCTGGGCCCCCCTCCTTGGCGCGAAGCCCGCCAGGGGCGGCGCCGGAAGCGCCGCCAGGGGGGTCCAGCGCCGATCCAAGAAATTCGCGCGCAGCTCCGAAACTTCACGAATATTCTTCGACATCCCTCCTCCTCCTCCTCCTCCTCCTCCTCCTCCTACAACTCCCTCAGGCCTTGTACTGCAGCAAGTGCTTGGCGCCCTTGGTGCCGAGGACCAGCTTTGCCTCGGGGGGGAAGAGCTCGAAGAGCCTGGTCGCCTCCTGCTCGGCCACCTGAGAGGGAGGCCGAGGCGCGGGAGAGCCCGGTGGTCCTACAAGAACGGTCCGCCCATGCACGTCTTTCAAGCAGAGCGAGTGTGTCACACGCACACACACGCGCACACACACATACACTTTTCCCTCCAGCGGCGAGGAAGCGGCACCGTCGCGATTACTAAACCGGGGTACTCTTCATCAAATTCCACCTGGCGTAGCAGGTGGATAAAATGAATGCGCAGTCGAGGCAGAAAGAAAAACACACACGCACACACAGCTGCGAATGGCGTCAGGACGGTCACGACAGCTCGAACGAAAACTGCTGCAAACTTACCAACGCGCACGTAGCCGACGTCAACTCTGCCGTCATGACCAGGGTCCACTCAGAATTCGTCCCAGTACAGTCGAGTCATGTCTGGCCGTGGCAACGAGGGGTGGCGTCGGGCGCCCCCCGGACGAGAGTGCAGCGCCCGCAGGGGCAAACAGCACGGCTTCCAGAACCATACCATGGCCCTCCTGGCGCCAGCCTCCAGATAGACGAAGAAAAAACACGATAAACCAAAACTTTCGGCGCTCCGCGCGGATTTCTTGGATCTGCGCTGCCCCCTTCCTGGCGCGCGGAGCGCGCCAGGGGCGGCGCCGGAGGCGCCGCCGAGGGGGCCCAGCGCGGATCCAAGAAATCCGCGCAGAGCGCTATGGTGTTTCTTCTTCTTCTTCTTCTTATTATTATTATTACTAGTATTCTTATTACAAATTATTATTCTTGTTGTTCTTATTATCATTATTTTGTATTATTATCATTCTTATTCGTATTCTTCTTGTTATTATTATTATCATTCTTCTTCTTCTTCTTCTTATTATTATTATTATTCTTATTATTCGACTTATTGGGTCACGCGGGTGCCGCCCGAAGGCCTCCGCGAGGCGCGCCGACGGCGGGAATCTGTCGTGGGACCTTCCTTGCAGAGAGCGCCAGGGCGGCTCTTGCAAGTCAACGTCCTCCCTTTGAGGGCGAGGACGGCGGAGCGCGGGCTCCGTGCACGGCGCCGGGGCCATCCTTTGCCAGACAAGCGCGTTCAACGACTCGCAAAGTAGCTACTCGCAAATGGCCTGGATCCTTTGCGTCGAGGCGAAGAGGCTCCACTGCATCGAACAGCGCTCGCTTTTGCTGACGTTTGCGAGCAGGCACTTTGCGAGTAGTGTTGGGTCGGGCATGTCCTCCTGCAGGCGGGAGTTGGAGGAAAAATCAGAAGCAGTCAAGACCAGTAAGCAAAAAATCGTCCCCAGCCTATCTTTTGACCGTCTTTGAAGGTTCGTCCTGTAAAGGGACTCGCCCGACTGAAGTGAAGGGGCCCTGGGACACAGAAATAAATACACACAAGCAACAGGATTCCCCACATTTTCCCATATTCTCGGGGTTCTTTCTCTTCCCCCCCACTCCCCACATGTTCCCACACTTTCCGGGGGATCGACGATCAGTCGCGTCTGTGTGTCTTCTCCCTCCCGAAATGAACTCGGGTCTCATGGCGGCCGTTCGGGACGACCCAGGCACCCCCAGGACGTACTCGGCGAGGCGCACCCGCTGGAGACCACCCGGAGGCTACAGATCTGGTTGAGAGCAGCGGAGCGCGCTCGGTGGTCTGCAGGGCCTCCGGGGGCGCGCCCTCGGCCGTGCGGTGCAGGGCGGGCGCCGCGCCCGCGGCGCGGGGCGGCGGCGCGGGCCCCCGGAGCGCGGCCTGCAGGGGGATCCCAGCGCGGGGGAGCGCGCCCGACGGCACCGGCGCCCCTCGGCGGCCGCCCTCCTCTGAGAGGAGGAGGAGAGAGGAGGAGGAGGAGGAGGAGGAGGAGGAGGAGGAGGAGGAGGAGGAGGAGGAGGAGGAGATGGAAACAGTCGGACTTGGTTGGACAGGACACGCGAGAGGACACAAGACACTTCTGAGGGTCACATTGCCATAGGCACGCAGGAGGCACTGGTCGCGAGACACAGGGCACAAGGTTAACCTTGAGCTGGCAGGGTCGACCTACTAATCCAGGCCGCCTGTACAGTCTTTTTCCCCGGGATCAGGGCTGAAAGTACGGTGGCTGCGACCCACGCCGCGCGAGGCGGCTCACGGGCCCAATGCTCGGCGGCAGGAGGGGTGGAGGGGCGGCCGCTCCTGCATCCGCTGCTCCTTCGACATGCCGTGGGTTCGCTTGTAGAGGCTGTCCGCGGAGGCGTCCACGTCCCGCACGCCCGCAAACTTCGCTCCTTGGCCGCGGAGGGAGAGGGGTGTCCATGCGGGTCGCCGGAGCCAAGAGCAGCGCAACGCGCATTCACGGGGCCGTCCTGGTCGGGGGACGCGCGGGTCAATAGTGGATTTGTGTGCTCCCGATCTCCACCAACGTTCCGATGGGTCCTAGTCTTCTGAAGGAGCGGACTCTAATGCGCGACATCCGCGCGCGACGGAGCTGGGCATGCCATGAAAGAGGACTGCCTTCAGATCAGGGCACCGCGTACAGTAGGTTCCCCTTCCTCCCGTCCCCTCCCGCATTAAGGTCGGACCTCGGACAGAAAAACATCCTGCAAGAACATGAGACCCTCCACCGGCACAACCACCCCAAACCATAAAATCACTGGAGGGTGCCCTCCTCCAGGATGCACAAGAACATACGACAAGCACGAAAAACACGAGGGTCACTTCCCCGAGCCGACCTCGACCTTACATCTTGGTCCGACCGTACCCTAATCTTCGCCCTTCTCTCGCCTGGCAGAGTGGAAGTGCAAGGATGATGATATCGATTCGCCGCTGGTGTTGGGGGCGTCCAAGACGGGGGCGTCCAAGAGGAGGGGGGGGCGCAAATTATGGCCGGCGGCATGTGCGCGGCCCGGGTGGGGGACCGGGGACGCATTGAAATAGAGAGGCGCCACGAGATCTGGGGAGATATTGTGGCCCCCGCCATGATATCCCCCCCCTAGTCATCGCCCCCCCATGAGATCCGACGGCGCGGGAAAACTGAGACATCGTAAAAAATCACGACCCGAGCCCTGGACCCGATCTTCTGCACCGTTTTTCGAACCAGATCGATCTGTAAGTATCCTGGGGCCCAAAACCTGGCGAAGACGCCCAGCTCGAACAAAAATCAGACGCCTGGATATCGGGACCCCCCTTGGCCGCCCCCGATGGTACCGCACGCCTGCGCACTTCTGCGTGGCCTGTGGCCCCTGATCATCTCTGGTGTCTCGTCTGTGGCCTGTGGTCTCTGACCATCAGGGGGGAGGGAGAGGGGGAGGGGGGAGGGTCCAGCTAGGTGCACTCGCGTCATATCTGACGTCCTATCCCTCCCTCCCATCCCTTATCATGGCGTAGATATTCTCTCTATTCGCACCGTCGGACGTCGAGCAAAGCAATGATCGCGACAGGGTACGCGATGCATGGTAGAACACGGCATGGCATGGCGTAGAAGACCACGGTAGAGCGTAGCATGCCATAGCATGGCGTGGCGTGGCGCAGTGAAGCATTGCATCACAAAGTATTGCAACGCGAAGCATGGCATCGCACAGCGGCGCAGAACACAACTCCGCACAGCATGTCACGGCGTGGTGCCAAGTTCCTCGGAAGGTAAGTGCATCGTCTTCGAGGCCTGGGCCAGTCTGGAGTCGTGGCTCCATGTCTAGCCCCTTGGGCTCCCCGAAAAGCTCCACACTAGGCGGGGCTGATGGAGAGCGCCCGCTGGCTCTGCTTTCGACATCGCCTCCTCTAAGCAGAAGCGGGACTCCCGATTGATACTTCCTGAAGACGACGACGACCCAAGGTGGGCGGCGCTTCTGCGGCCCAACAAACCAACGAATCGGCACCAAATGTGGAATCACTTCCGATGGTTTATTCGGGGGGGTATTTTCTAGATTCTGGAGCCCATTTGGAAGGAAGGCCAGCGCTGCAGCGGGAGCACGATCCGGAACGAGCAGAAGCGTGGAAATGAGGTCAGCGCTACAACGGGAGCACGATTCGGAACGAGCGGAAGCTCCAAATATGATGCCAGCGCTTCAGCGGGAATAACACATGGAAAAAACAAAACGAAACACACAACTCCCTGGAATCCTGTGTAAAAAACCGTACGCTGACGGGGGCCCGATATCTTCCAGACGTCGTCAGGGGAGAGAGGAGAGTAGTATACATATAGTAGAAGTGTGGAGGGGGGAGGAGGGGGAGGAGGAGGAGGAAGAGGAGGAGGAGGAGGAGAGAGGACCAGTGTAAACCCAAGAGTCATCAACGAATTTGGAATAAACCATCCCTCCGAGCTCCCTCTTCATAGGCCCCTACAACGGTTCATTTCCACAGAGGGGACTGCCTTGTTGGAAGACAACCGCTTGACCCTGAAGCATGCGAAGCATGCCAAAACATTGTTCTCAGGATTCCAACGCCACGGATCAACCTGAATGTTGCGTCTTGACAATTCGGAATCGTGCCAGAACGCCACTCCTGTTACGTCAACGCCGCAAATCAACGTAACTGTTGCACCCTCATAATCCTGAATCCTTGCGAGACACCATTTCTGATACGCTGATAAAGGGAACCCGTGAAACTTTTGCACTCTTAATATATGAGCATATAAATGTAAACGAATGCGCGCGGCGCTAAGGCGAGAAACACATTTTGAAAAGGAACCGCCCTCAATCCGTGAAACTCTTGCAAATGTTTAGAATGAATTTGCGCGGCGCTAAAGCGAGAGCCACATTTTGAAAACGGGTCGCCATCAATCCGTAGAACTCTTGCAAATGTTTAAAACGAATGCGCGCGGCATTAAGGCGAGAACCACATTTTGAAAACGGGTCGCCCTCAATCCGTGAAACTCTGGCAAATTTCTGAAACGAATGAGCGCGGCGCTAAAGCGAGAGCCACATTTTGAAAACAGGTCGCCATCAACCCGTAGAACTCTTGCAAATGTTTAAAACGAATGCGCGCGGCGCTAAGGCGAGAGCCACATTTTGAACACCACCCGCCCTCCATCTGTGACACTGTTGCCAATGTTCAAGCTTCAGGGTCGTAAGTGGTGAGGACGTCTCAATCGAAACGCCCGGCCCGCCCTAAAAACTGGCCTCGGGGTGCGACAGGGAGAGAATAGAGGAGGAGGAGGAGGAGGAGGAGGACGAGGAGCAGGAGGAGGAGGAGGAGGAGGAGGATGAGGAGGGGAGGAGGAGGAGGAGGAGGAGGAGGGGGGGGCGCTCAGCGGCTGGGCACGGCCACCGCAGGGGGCCCCGACCTTGACGCTGTAGCCCCCTAGAGTTTGAGCTGCCCCTCCCGCCACCATGCACGACTGTAGGGCTCGACGACAGGGCTCTCTCTCTCTCTCCATTCCTCATTCCTCCTTCTACTCATCTTCCTTCCCGTCACCTCTGCACGTCCTGCTCCCCGTCCCCTCGCCCCGAACTTCTGCACCCATCTGTCAGCTGACCCAACAAGCCCCGCGCCAGGCCGATTGTTACCTTCGTCGTGGTGCTCAGAGGGTGGCATTGGCCTGGCCCTTGCACGCATCACCGTTAGGGCATCGAGCGGCCCCAAACTGTCGCTGGATGCGTGGTTGGTCATTGTTCTTATGTTTGCACTTTCACCTCTGAAGAACAATTCATGCTGGTCCCCACTCACAGGTGCCCCATCCGCTGTTTCAGTCGAAGTGAATTGCGCCTGTTTGTTTTCGACCACTGTTTGCCTGGCAGCGCCTCCGGCGTCGCCCCTGGCGCGCGGAGCGCGCCAGGGAGAGGGGTCCATCACGTATCCAAAAGAGCTGCGCACAACCGCGGGATGGAGACAACGAGCGTGATCCAGGAACAAATAGTGGCATAAACATGAACTTTCGGAGCTCTGCGCTGATTTCTTGGATCGGCGCTGAACCCCTCCCTTGCGCGCGGAGCGCGCCAGGGCGGGGGCGCCAGAGACGCTGCCAGGAAGGCTCCGGCACCGATACGAGAAATCCGCGCGGACCTCCAAAAGCTGACACGTCGGTCGGAAAAAGTAAGTAAAAACATGATGTAGGAAGGCGGATAAAGTTGATTTGGTCCAGGCCCTCCCAGTTAATTACAAAACACATCAAGAGCATACCGATGTATGAAATAGGAAGGCGCTTGAAATAGACTGGGGTATAGGAATACAATCCGTTTTCGTTGTGCGATCGTTTTCCCTCGTTTTGTCTCCAATCCGCCTTTGCTGCAGAACGAAACCGAGACGAGAACCGCCCACAAAATAGCCAGAACACCGTTTAAGTCGACCCCTGCACGACTATGGCCTGTGTCTCTGATTTCTCTGGGGGGATGGGGGGGTGCGGCCACCCTGGGGCCCAAGCCTTGACGCTGCCCCTGGAGCTTCAACCCATCGAGTCAACTGACGCGCCCTCCTCAAGGAAACCGAATACGTGCCTCTCATCTGGAAAGACGCGCACATCGGTGCCAGCATACCTACCGAGGCGCGTCAAGCACAATCACACACTTGTTTGGCGCGAGCACCGTCGGCGTCGGAGAGACCCCCAGTAGCCCCAGCACGCTCGAGCGCGAACCGGGCGCCCCTCGGACACTCCACCCTTCCCAGGCATGGCACTGTCTCCCATGGCTGTACAGTGGGGGCTCGGCCACAAGAAACCTCCGCAAGAAACCCGACCCTGAAGTACGCGATTTGCTCGGTGAAAACCCACACGTGTCGATCGAAAATCGTCAAGATCTGACTGGGAGCCCATCAAGATCCAAGAAACCCAGGGCACCCAGGCAAAATCCAACTGGTTTCTTGGCACGCGCCCCCACTGTACCTGCCGCTCTCCGGGGCCGGCTCTTCCGCCCGAGCCGCTTCCTGGACGAGCCCGGGGCCCGGCGAGGGCCCCCCTGAGGCCGACGCCGGGCAGACCTCGCCCGTCGGGAGTTTTGCTGGGGCTCCCAACTTCGCGCTTCGCGCTTCGCGCTCCGCGGCGCGCGAATAGCTTCGCGCTCTCGCGCAGCCCCCCCCCAAGGAGGAGGAGGAGGAGGGGGAGGAGGAGGAGGAGGAGGAGGAGGAGGAGGAGGAGGAGGAGGAGGAGGAGGAGGAGGAGGAAAGGGAGAAGGACCGAGGACCGCGAAGCGCGAAGAACTTCGCGCCCTCGTGGGAGCCCTTGCTTTTGCCACGACGCGAGTACAGTCATCGGCCTGACCTAAGGAACGATAAATAAGGAACGAGGCCCATCTTTTATCCCAAGGAATAACGCATAAAGGAACGATCAAAAAACAAATAACGCATAAGGAACTGTAAATAACGCACGTAAAATCTAAGGAACGACCGAGCCCCTTTTCAAAAACAAGTGTTCCTTATTAAAGCCGCTCACTGTATGCCTGGGTCCTTCAAAAAAGAGGGGGGCCGCTTCAGCCACTGGAGCCGGCACGCGGTGCCAGCCCCTCGGTCTTCGGGTCATAGTTATGAAGGGGCCCTGGGACACACACACACACACACACACACACACACACACATAGATCCACGCAAATAACAGGATTCTCCACATTTTTCCCATACTTTCTGGGTTTTTGTCTTCCCCCCACTTCCCATATCTTCCAATATTTTCTGGGGAGTCGACGATTCACTGTGTCTGTCTGCTTCTCTTCCTCCTGAAGCTGACTCGGGTCTCTGGCGGCCGGTTCGCGACGACCCGGGGCACCCCCAGGACGCACTCGGCGAGGCGCCCCCGCGGGAGACCACCCGGAGGCTACAAACCTGCCGAGGGCCGGCGAAGCCGCCCGAGAACCTCGAATCTCGAACTCGGGGGGCGCGGGCGTCCAAGAGAGGAGCGTCCAAGAGAGGGTTCGCAGGTCGTGGCCCGAGGCGCGTGCGCGACCCGGGGGGAGGGGGGGGGGCCAGGGGACCTGTTGAGATAGGAAGGGGCCGTGACTGTCGGGGATATGTCACGGCCCTGGCCATAGATGGCCAGGGCCGTGATAGATGGTGCGAGATGATGCCAAAGGCTTAGAACTATGATCTATGTCCCGCTATCAACTCACAACATCAGCCAAATGGGCCGCCCATCTAGGTACCGGAGATATCACGGCCCCGGCCATATCCCCCCGGTATCCCCCAATCATCACCACCCCCTTTGGCCGCCCCCGAGAAACGTTCCCGACCGCGCCCCGCCCGGGCCGCTCTCCCGACGACTTCTCGTAGCCCAGCGCGTGCAGCGCCGCGCGCGCCGCGAGCTGCTCGGCGCCCTTCCTGGTCTCGGCCGGCTGGCCGCCGTTGAAGAAGCCGTGCTCGGCCACGCGCACTCTCGCGTAGCCCGCCCGGCCCCCCGCGGGGGGACGACTGCCCTGGCGCGCCCCCGCTCGACGAGGGCTGATGCCCTCGCGGGCGACGCCGTTGCCTCTGCGGAGCCCTCCGCCGTCGCTGGTTGCTCCGCCCCCGTCGCCTCTCCTCCTCCCCCCCTCCCTCTCGCCGCCCCCCCCCCCTTCCTCCGTTGTTGTCCTCCACCTCCTCCTTCAGCCCGGGCGCCTTCGTCACACTTCCACCACTCCACTTCTGTGTCCCCAACGTCTCCGCCTGCTACGACGGGGCAGAATGACTGATGATCCTCAGGAGCTTGAAAGACCTTAGCGTTCTCGCGTTTTCAGGCTTCCCACGCTCCAAGACTGCCCAAGATGCCCCCCAAGACGGCCCAAGAGGCTCCCTCTTGGGGCCCAGGAGGCCCCCAAGAGGGTCCCAATAAGGGTAATCCGCACTGGCGTTTCGAGCCCTCCGCCCCAAGAAGACCCCCGAGACCACCAGCAGGGCCTCCAAGAGGCCACACGATGCTCCCAGACGTCCCCAAGAGGCTACAAAAATGCATCCAAGAGGCCCCCGAGGAGCATCCCACGAGACCTTTATATGAATCCAACGGGCATCTGGCCCACAACTCAGACACGATGGCGGCATGGGCCGAAAGCAACTCGACCTGCTTGGCACGGGGACGGAAGGCGCAACTTACCTTGTGACAGCGCGAGATCGCTGGTTTGTCCGTTCTTCTTCCTCTCAGGTCCTCTGTTCCCCTCGCCCGTGTCGCATCCTTGGGGAGTTGTGGGACCCTCTCGGGCCGTCTTGGGAGGCTCTCGGTTTGTCTTTGGGCCCTCTTGAGCCGTCTTGAGGCCCTTCAAAAGAGACTGAAAGACGAAGTTAAAAACATCCGTTTGAACACGCGATGTTGGAGATTGGTCATGTGTTTAAGGGTGTTCCTGGCGGAATCGCCATTTTCGGCAATCTCGAAAGCGCTCCAAGACCGTTTGGAACGTCCACTGTCGGAATGTCGCGGTTTCCCCTTGTGGATCCCCCGCTTTCCAAAACTTCTATGTTTGTCCCTTTTGGATCGCCCGCTGTCCGCATGTAGCCTTGTCCCAACTTGGACGTTCCATCTGAGCTCAAAGCTGTCGCAAGGAGAGTGTGCAGGAAAACCATGTGCTGTCACCGCTCGGACCGCCCGCCAGGGCCATGCATTTTCCCCGTTTGGACCGTCGCCTGCTTTCCAGAACCATGCGTTCCCCCCGATTGGACCTGGGCGACTCTCGGGCCGTCGTCGGGCCCTCTTGAGCCTCCTTGGGGCCCTCTTGGGAGCCTCTTGGGCCGTTCTGAGGTCCTTCAAAAGAGATTTCAAACCAATGTTAGAAACACCCTCTTAAACATGCGACGTTGGAAATTGTCGTCTGTTTAAGGACGTCCACGGCGCTACCGCTTTAACCCGTCTGCCCATTTCAACCCGCCTGGGCGTGTAAACCCGCCTGGGCGTTTGAACCCGCCTGGCCGTTTTGACCCGAATGTTCGCTTCAAGCCGCATGGACATTGTTACGACCGCGTGACTGTCGTCATCGGCATGGCCATTTTAACTCGCCTGGTCACGCTGACGTCCTTGGCCGTTCTTCCCAAAGTAGGCTTGCCCAAAGGGGTTATGGTTCTTACTTGGTTAAAGGTTGGTGCCTCTGGGGTGCTACTTTGTCCGTTGCTCGGAAGTTCCTCGGGTTCCTCGGGTTCCCCACCTCTGGTGCCTCGGGGGGGTATTTTGCCCGTTGCTCGGAGGTTCATCGGGTTCCTCGTTGCTCGGAGGTTCCTCGGGTTCCAATGCTAAGCAATGCCGAGCAATGCCAAGCAATGCCAAGTAATGCCAAGCAATGCCAAGCAATGTCAAGCAATGCGCAGCAATTTCAAGCAGTGGCAAGCAATGGCAAGCAATCGCAAGCAGTGCCCATCAGTGCCAAGCACTGCGCCCATGCAACAGGATGCCTTCCCCTAATTGGGATCGCGCTGGGTTCATTAACCCGCCTGGCCGTTTTAACACGCCTGGCCGCTTTAAACCGCCTGGCCGTTTTAACCCGCCTGGCTGTTTTAACACGCCTGGCCGTTTTTGATCGCTTGGCCGCTGTAACTCGCCTGGCCGCTTTAAGCCGCCTTGCCGCTTTGACCCGCCTGGCCGGTTTAACTCGCCTCGCCGTTTTAACCCACCTGGCCGCTTCAAACCGCCTGGCCGTTCTAACCCGCCTGGTCGTTTCGACTCGGCTGGCAGTGTTAACCCGCCTGGCCAGCCTCGTGCGCCTTTTCAATCCGCCTGGCCGTTTTGAACCACCTGACAATTATAAATCGCTTGGCCGCTTGAACTCGCCTGGCCGTTGAAACTCGCCTGGCCGTTTTAACCCGCCTGGCCATTTTACCTCGCCTGGCCGTTTTCACCCGCCTGGCCGTTTGATCCCACCTGGCCGTTTTAACTCGCCTGGCCGTTGTAACCGCCAATTCGCTTGAACTCGCTTTGTCGCGTTAACCCGCCAGGTAGTTTTAACCCGCCTCGTCGTTTTACACCATCTGGCCGCGCTGACATCCAAGGCCGTTTCAACCTGCCTGGCCGTATTAAACCGCCTGGCCGTTTTAACCCGCCTGGCCGTTGGAGCCGACCAAACCTTTTTGAACCCGCCTGGCCGTTCGAACCCGCCTGTTCAGTTTAACCCGCCTGGCCGTCTTAACCGCCTGGTCGTTTTGACTCGCCTGGCAGTGTTAACTCGCCTGGCCAGCCTCGTGAGCCGTCTTGGAGCGATATAATCTCGTTCTTGTGAGGATGTCCCTAGCGAAATCACCATTTTGGGCGAGAGCGGCACCAAGACGATGTCGACAACATTTCCTTTGTGTGAGGATGTCCCTAGCAACATCGGTTTTTCGGGCAAGAGCGATGTCGACAACATCTCATTTGTGTGAGGATGTCCCAATCGTAATCGCCAGTTGGGGCAAGACCGAGACCAAGACGACGTCGACAGCATCTCGTGTTTGCGAGGATGTCCCTAGCGCAATCGCTATGTTTGGCAAGAACGATGTCGACAACAGACCATGTGAATGAGGACGTCCCTAGAGAGCTGATTATCTGTAATACGGAAGTGCAGCGTCTGAAAACGATCTTGATGGGCTACGTTGGGCCGCCTTGAGGCCTTCCGAGAGCGATCCCTATACATCTAAGTGTTGCTTATAGATTGTTGATGATGTCCCAGCGAAATCGCCACTTGGCCACTAGATCCCAAAGCCTCCGACTACCAACCCTCCCAACTCCCTCTGGGTTCCATGTCTTCTGGCGAATGGATGGCACGCTACGCGCGCCTTCCGTCATCCCTGGGGCCCGGCCTGCCATCCCCCTTCAAACTCCCCCACAGTTTCATTCCCATCGGATAGCGTGATCGCACGCTGCAGTAGGAGCTCGACAACAAGAAACCTTCCACAAGAAACCCAACCCTGAGACCCCAGGACGTCCTTTGATTTTTGGTGTGGGAACGTCACGCTTTCCATGGCAAACCAGGGCACCCTGGAGGCAAGCCGGGTGTTTCTTGGTATGGGCTTCCACTGTATGCGCGCGCTCCGTCATCCGCCGCCTCCCCTGTGGCTTGCCAGAAAGATTGCTGGCGTGCCATACGATAACCGTTCGAACCCCTCCGAAGGTTCCAAGTGGGGTAGGCGTATCCCTTTACAGCCACCAGTGCGAATCCCAGAGGGTGCCAAGCACAGGTGTTCACCCTCAACATGTCTCCAATATGGCTCTAAGATGACATCAAAGACGACCCAAGAGTGTCCAAAAGACCTCCAAGTCCTCCCCAAAGGCTTCAAATACAGCCCACGATGGCCTCAAGACGGTCCAAGACGGCCTCCAAGACAGCCCCAAGGGCTTCAAAATGCTTTTCAGGTGGCCTCCAGGAGGCCAAAATCATTGATGCTCCTTAGGTTGCTCAGTAGGCTTGGCGCTCTCGCCTCATCGGGCTTCTGACAGCCGAAGACGGCCCCAAATGCCTCCCAAGGCAGCCTGCCTCACGACGGAAAGCTCCCAACAGGGCCCCAGGACGAGCCAAGATAGTCTCAAGACGGCACAAGAGGCTCCCAACACGATCCTCAGAGGGCCCAAGACGGCCCCACAGACCCCCAAGACAACCCTAAAGCGCCCAAAGAGGGCCCCACGACGGCCCAGAGAGGTCCCCACGACGGCCTCCGAAGGCCAAGAGGCCGCTTAGAGGCCTTCGGGCGCCCCCAAGAGGCCACTGAAAGGACTCAGGAGGCCCCCAAGAAGTCCCTCAGAAGCCCCCAAGAGACCCCCAGGAAGCTCCACAAGAGCGCCTCCAAAGGCCTCCTGCTCCTCCTCCTCCTCCTCCTCCTCCTCCTCCTCCTCCTCCTCCTCCTCCATCTTCTGCATCTTCTCCATCCTTTTGCCTCATAAACAACTCCTCCCTGTCGTACCCCCGGACGTGTCGGTAGGGCGTACTGGGCATTTCGCCTGAGGCTCCCTCATCATGTATGATCCTAAAGCTTGAAGTTTACAACAGTTTCAAATATCAGGGCGGGTGATTTTCAAAATGTTGCTCTCGCCTTAGCGCCAAGCGTGGCTTCCACCGTGCTGCTCGTGCCTTAACGCCGCGCAGCACATTTGTCTTCAACACTTGCAACAGTTTCAAGGATGGAGGGCAGGCCATTTTGTAAGTGTAGCTCTCGCCTGAGCGCCGCGCACATTCGTTCTAAAGTGTGCAACATATTCAAGGGCTTGTGGGATTGAAGTCCCAGGAATGCTTCTCTGGCACGACGTAGGATTGGCAAGACGCATCAGTCACGTTGCTTCGTGGTATTGATGTCCACGCACGGTACGGTGTGATGTATGGCACGATTAAAAATTTCGAAGGCGCATCAATCACGTTGATTTGCGACGTTAAAGTCCCAGGAATGTTGTTTTGGCACGGTTGAGGATTATCGAACGGATGTCTTTCATTGGGGCTCTTCCCACAATGACAGCAAATTCTTGTAGGGACCTATGGATAGGGAACTTGGAGCGAGGGTTTGATTGCACTATCGTTGATGCGTCTGGGGTTTACACTTGTCCTCCTCCTCCTCCTCCTCCTCCGCCTCCTCCTCCTCCTCATACTCTCTTCCTTCCCCAGGTGTTCCCCCAAAGGTTTCCACAACGGCTGGGGGAACACGTAGTCAATGAACCCGGCGCGACCCCCATTAGGGCCCTTCTTTTTTCCAAAACAGTTCACAGCAGTGCAAAGCAATGCTTGGCATTGCTTGGCATTAATTTGGCCGAGGAAGGCAACAAGGAACCAAGACCTAGGAAATTGAGGAAGGCAGCAAAGAACCAAGACCAAGGGTCACCTGTGCACCGCTGGGCGCGGCCGCCGATGCAAGGAACCAAAACCAAGAAATCCGAGCAACACCTCAGACTAGGGGCGTCGCACCCACCGTCCCACACGCGTCTCTCACCAAAACATAGGAACCTCTTTGGCAAAGCCTGATGGGAAAAGCCAAGCTTTGGCCAAAGGTTTGGCCACGTCGGCGGGTCCAGAAAGGCAGGGGGCGACGGGCATTGACCGTCGGCGTCTTCGATACGCGGACACATATACACAAACACCCCCACACACACACACACACACACAAGCACACACACAAGCACACACACACACACACTGCACAAAAGGCGGAAGGAAAGCTGCATATGGTGTGGCCTCGCCAAAAAAAGGTAAGATGCGGCAAAGTCATGTCAAGATGACGCAGGGCAGTGCCAGCAGAGGCAGGACATAGGCAGGCAACGAAAGGCCTGGATGAGCGATGCAGAATAAGCCGAGCAAGGAAAGGCCAAGGAAAGCAAGACACGTCGTGCAAACCGATCTAGCCGAGGCATACAGGACGGGCCCGGTCAGGCAAACGAAACAGAGGCAACGCACAGCATCCGGGGGATCACAAGCCGACTGTTTGGAAAAGCGTCGCTCTTGCACACAGCTTCAGCACCGGTCTGTGGGGGCCAGGCGGCGCTGGCACACGCGGCCCCGCACATAGTTGCGGCCGTCCGATCTGACCTCGTGCGAAATTCCTCTGGGCTGCCGCCACAATCAAACAACAGCACGGCAAACATGTTGCGTAAGATACAAGAGGAAACTCTCATCGAGTAAATCCCTACGGGCATCATGTGCGCAAGTCACGCGTATTCACGCCACGACTTGTCTGAAAAGAACGTGCGTAAGGGTGCGCGTGGTTGTAGACGCGTGCTTGTGAGTGATTCTGCGTACTCAGATGTCTGCATCTGCGTACGCATGGGTGAGACGCTTGTGATGTACATGCGTGCCCCAATTCCTACATGTTCCTGCGTACGCGGGTGAGCGGGCCTCCGTGCATTTATCAGCATGCGCACATGATTGCAATTCTATGCGTTCACGTCTGCATGTGGTTATGCGCGTGTGCGACGGGGTGGACACGCGCGTATGGCCAGCGGAAAGAAAAGTCGGTGCTCGTGCATGTTGCCATGTGTGTGGTGTGCGTATGTGGCGTATGTGCGCGCCGTGCGCGTGAGCGTTGCATGACGTCGTGCTACTCGTGCCTCTGTATGAGGATATGTCCCACTGCAGGCCCCGGGACCCGCAGCTTCATTCAGACCTCAGCCAATGGACCTATCTTCTCCTCCCTCCACTTCCGCATCCCCCCTCACACTCCCCGTCCCTCCTCCCATGTCATTCCCCTCCCTTGTCATCCCCCTCCTCTCTGCCCAGCTACACCATTCCCCCTCTCTCCTCATCCTCCCACTTCTCTTCGCCCTCCTCCTCCTGTTCTCCTCATTCTCCTCCTCCTTCTCCGAGCTTCGAGCCGCAGACCTCATCCTTCGGTGAAGCGAGGACTTCGGCCTTCTCCTGTTTCTTCTCCTCCTCCTCCTCCTCCTCCTACTCCTCCTCCTTCCCCTTCTCCTCCTCCTCCTCCTCCTCCTCCTCTTCCTAGATGTCCTCTCTCTCTCTCTCTGTTCGTCTGTCTGCCTGCCTGCCTGTATGTCTGTCTGTCTGTCTCTGTCTCTCTCTCTCTGTCTCTGTCTCTGTCTCTGTCTCTGTCTCTGTCTCTGTCTCTGTCTCTCTCTCTCTCTCTGGTTCACAAGCACTCTCCCTGTCTCACTTTCTCTCCCTCTCTTTCTCTCTTTCTCCCTGTGCCCTTCTCTCTCTCTCTCTCTCTCTCTGGGTTTCTCTCTCCCTCTGCCCTCTCGCCACCCCATACCCCACGTCTCATCGCACGCTCATCGATCCTTTGCCGCTGCTGAAGCGGACGTTCAGCTGCGACTTGAAGTCGTGGGCCCCGATGGGAAGGATCCGTCACCGACCGAAGGGGGGGCCCCCGCCACCACCCGCTGGCCGCCTAGCTCCGTCTGGGGAAACCAGCCCCCGGGGACTCGATCTCCCTGGGCCTCCCCTGGGGTGCGCCCCGACCTGCACCTCGAGGAGAGTCCGGCCGTGCGAACGAGGGCTCTCCAAGACGAGCAGCGGCACCGGCACCTGCTTCCCCTCTGAGACGACTCGGAGGAGGAGGAGGAGGAGGAGGAGGAGGAGGAGGAGGAGGAGGAGGAGGAGGAGGAGGAGGAGGAGGAGGAGGAGGAGGAGGAGGAAGGAGGAGGAGGGGGTTCGGGCCGTGGCCGGCTCCCCGGACTCGCCCCACGCGGCGGGGGCGAGGGCCCCCTTCCGAGCGGTGAGCTCTGGGAGGCGCCTGCCCCGCCGGTGCCTCTGGCCTCTTCTTCTTGGCACCGGCCTTCTTGGCCCTGGCCGCGGCGGGCACCTCGCGGGCGGCACCCTCCTCCTCCTCCTCCTCCTCCTCCTCCTCCTCCTCCTCCTCCTCCTCCCGGGGCGGAGGGCCGCGGGGGCGAGGCCGAGCGAGGCGAACGCCGGAGGCGGGCGCGCTCCTCTGGGGGAGCTCGGCCCGCCAAGCCCGCCGGGGCACGGCGTGGAGGCCGCGGCCCCAAAAGTGCAATACGCAGGCGGGGGGCCACGTGGTGCGGCAGGTTTGCGTCGTGTCGACCCCGGCGTTGGTTCCTGACACCGCGGGGATTGTTCAAGCTTGAACGACCGGCCCTTTCAGAAAGGCCGGATCGTTCAAGAATGAGCCGATTCTGGGCCACAGGCGTCGTTCAACCTGAAACGCCCGCGCCGAGGTCGCCGTCGGTTGACACGACGCGCACCTGCCGTGAGAGGTCGCTCTTCATTTCTCGGCGAAGAGCCGGGTTCTCCGATGGGGGGGGGAAGTGCCAGCCGATAACCCAGCCTTTTCACCCGGGGCAGCCGGGGGAGGGGTTCGAACCAGGAGTGACCCCCCTGGTTTTCCGCCAGCAGCGGTAGAACACGCTCTTTCAGATATGAGCGGGCGCGTTTCACGGGCGCTTGCCTTGGGAACATTCGGCGCGCATTTGAACAGGGCACCTCCCCCCCAAACATTCGGCGCCGTCGAACAAAACAAGAGGACGCCCCCCCCCCGGGGCGCCTGCGCCGGCGCGCTGGCGGCGGCGGCGGCAGCAGCGGCGGCGGCGGCTGGCAGCGCCCACGCCCACGCCCGCGCCCACCACGCCCACGCCCACGCCAACGCTCACACGCTCGCCCACGCCCACACCCGAGCCTACGCTCACACGCACGCCCACGCCCACACTCACACCCGAGCCCATGCCCACGACGAGGCGGCGACGGGGCGGCGACGGCGACGAAATAGCCGCCAGACCAAACTTCAGGCCCACACGACGGGCGGCGACGAGGCGACGACGGGGCGGCGACGGCGACGACATAGCCGCCAGACCAAATTTCAAGCCCAATCCCACCAGCCCTTTGGGCGCAGGTGGTCTAACGATGTCTTTCTTTCCTCTTCCCAAGCCCCCTATTCCCTTTCGGGGAAGGGTTTATCACTGTTCTCTGTTAATAAACACCCCCTCCCCCAGGCGACTGGTAGCCAACCAAGAACCCTGAGGGCACCCCCCCACCATCCCTTGTTAAAAAACCATGCAAACACACACTCTGCCTCCAAATTCGGAGCATGCGCAGCCAACCCGATGCGGCCTCCCCCCACCATCCCTGTCAAAAAACAGTACAGAGTACACTTGGCGGCGGCGGCGGCGGCGGCGGCGGCGGCGGCTGCGGCGGCTGCGGCGGCGGCGGCGGCGGTGGCGGCGGCGGCGGCAGTGGCGGTGGCGGCAGCGGCTGCGGCGGCAGCGGCTGCGGCTGCGGCTATTTGGCAGCGGGGGCGGCGGCGGCGGCGGCGGCGGCGGCGGATTGGCCCCAGTAGCTGCCCATCCAAAGACGACTGCTGAATATGCTGAGGCTCGGGCCAGACTCGGGTGCTACGTATATGTGTTGGGAGGGCGGGTGGGAGTGAGCGAGACGGCTTGCGGGCGGGGAGGGAGTCTTGACCCCTCCCCTTACCCTCTCCCCTGGGCCTGGACGGGGGGGTTCGCAAGGTCGCAGAGGGCCCCTTTCCTGTCAAGATGGCTCCAAGATGGTCAACATGGCTCAAGAAAACTATCAACATGCTTCCAACAGGCCCCAAGAGGGCCACAAGACTTCCAGGTGCTCTCAGAGCTCCCTCAGGCCTCCCCGAGAAGCTAAAATCCTTCAAAAACCTACGGAACATCAATGATTCTAGCCTTCTCGCATTTTCGCTTCCGATGCGCTTGTGAGGCCTCAACATGGCCCCAAGATGGCCCAAGAACGCTCCAGGAG